ACCTTCTATGAACATATAAACGAAGCAAATAATTTGGCGTCAAATAATTTATCAATAATGTAAACATTAAAATTAGATTGTTTCCTTTAGCATGCTGTCTTGATTCAGTAGCACGATGTGCTGTGTTGAACATGAAGAGGTTTAATGGAATTTATGGATGTACTTTCTGCGAACATCCGACTATGAATGTCAATGGAGTTCAGAAATACCCTATGATGCAAAATGTTCCTAAGAGGCGAACAACTGAAAGCATTAAATGCCAAATGATTGCTGCTCATACAAATAAGGAAAACACAGTTGGAGTATGGGGACCATCTTGTTTGATTATTTTGAAACACTTCGACATGGTGAATGGTATAATTGTAGATTTTATGCACTCTGCATTGCTTGGTGTGACTGAATTGTACACAAACATTATAATGTCAAGTACGAAAGCAAAATACTATGTTGGATCTCCTGCTGCTACTTCTATTATTAACAAGCGCCTTCTATCAATCAGACCTCCAACATGTATTGGAAAAGTTCCACAAAATATACAGGAAAGAAACAACTGGAAGGCTTCAAGTGGCTTTTTTGGCTTTTGTACTACGCTGTACCGTGTTTAAACGGACTTCCGCCGAGAAAGTATATCAATCACTTAGCTATGTTCGTTACAGCCATGAATATTCTATTTCAAGATAGCATATCGTTTGATGACCTTGAAACTGCTCGACAATTATTAGTAAAATTTGTATTTTATTTCGGTAAATACTTTGGAGACGAATATATGCATTACAATGTCCATCTTCTTTTACATATATGTGATACTGTAAGAAATTGGGGCCCATTATGGTGTATAAATACGTTTCCTTTTGAAAATCAAAATAAAAATTTATTAAGAATGAAGAAAGGTAATTGCAACGTTGCTAAAGAAATTGTAATGAGATTAGCAACTTACCAGGCAATTTATGAATTAGAAACTAAAAAATTTATAACTCAATCATCAATAGATTTTTGTAATCAATTGCGTAGTAATCACCTTCAGAAAGCACTAAAAATTAAAGACTGTGTTTTATTAGGAGTAGGAAAAACGAAAGAACTTTGCGATGAAGAAATTTTGAGTATTAGTGATAATATAGATATTAATAAAATAAATGAATAATAAATGAATGTGAAAAATATGATAAAATATTATATGGAAATGTGAGATATACAACTTGCGGTTTTTCGAACAGCAAAAAGACAAACGACTCTGTCTTTGAAACTAAAGATAAAAAGTTTGGTATCATTATTGCTATTAATTTAATAAATTATGAGAATAAATACGACGTCTTTGTCTTTTTCAAATTGTTGTGTACATCAAATATTTCCATACTGAGAAATGAGAAATTAGAAGACATAATAAATTTACAAAGAATTTCATTAGATTCCAACGACACTCATTGTATACATTATTCACAACTGCGTAGATCTTGTATCGTAACTAAATGTAAACGTCAGCATTATATAAGTTCTCTTGTAAAAGGATCAATTGCTAGTTGTATAAGTTGATACTCTATTTCATTTTCATGTAAAATTATTAATTTCAAATATATAACATTTAATACAGTTTGATGAATTATTATTTTTATATATCCATCAAAATAAATATTTATTGAGATTTGGTTACTAGATGTTTTGAACAGTTAATTTCAGCTACTATTAGTTACTACATGATCTCCAATGTAACAGCAAAGTAATTGTCAGTAACATATATTGACAAAAATAAAAAGTTTTTTTCAGATATTATCATTTACTAACAGTTTACTTTACCAACCTAACAGTTATTTTTAGATGTTATCATTTACTAGCTTTTTTATTCGCGAACCCAATTTTTTTGCGACGAATAATAAAAGAAAATAACTGTTAATAAGTGTTATGAATTGATAATAACTGTTGATAACATTTAATAACTCAATTAAATTGATAATAACAATTATATGTGTTATAACGAATCGCTTGTATATTCGTTATGTCTCTCTCTCCCCAAGAAGCCAGTAACTAATATATTTAATAAACATTATAAATTATCATATCGTTTGAATAGTTACAGCATTACGGACGTCAGCGAACTGGTAAGCGACGCGACTGGCGTACGATAATCGATATCGACTCGCGGCGCGGACCTCGCGGAGAGACGCTTCCTTGCGAGGAGAGAGAGAGAGTTTCGAAAATTGATACAGTTGGCTTTCAATCAGCGACCGGCTAAGACTCCTCGCACGAGTCGCCACAAGTTTTCCGGCTTTTCTTCGCGAAGAACTAGCGTTAGAAGGTAGCAGAGAATATCGCTACAGCGGAGCTGAAGCAGAGGCCTACTACGGACGATCAGCACCGCTCCTATCAGGGGAGAAGCGTCATCGCCAATTCATCGACGACAAGAGCGAATACGCAACAGAAGCGAGTCCGCTACTTAACGCTCTTGGTCCGCGGGTTAGATTAAGCGTGCAAGCGGCGATACTGTAAGTACCAGGTCTAGCGCTTGTCTTCTCTCTCTATACCGCTCTCTCCCTTTTTGCGTTAACTAAGCCGCGCGTTTACGCTCGCCTTTTTCTTTTGTACACGTTGCGCCGCGGCCACAGTTGATACCGGCATGTTCTCTCTCTCCGCGAGTGTGCTGTCGCTTTTGTATATTCGTCGTACTTCAACCGAATAAGTGCGGTTTGCCGTTCGTGAACACCCGGCTCCTGCGAGGCGATTTTGCTGCTACCTGCTTCGACGAGGTTAAGCGCTGTCGCCTCCTCGTTCGAACGGTGCGCGCCGGTTCGCTGTCGCCATTGTGCACAGCTCACAACAGAGCGAGTGCTTGCGCGACCTTAACCGCGTAGCGCGTGCGCAGTTCCGTTCGCTTCACTGTCAAGCTATTGCGAGTTTGTTGCGTTGCGATTAACTTTGTTTATATCGATCGTTTTGATAATATGTATTCCTTTGTTGCTAATTAAAATTTACACGCATCCGCGTTTAATCATATTCGAGTGCTTATTGCCCGCTGACTCCCTGTTCCTTGGACTGTAATTGTGTATGCGACTGTACACGCGCGAATCTCTCTTCTTGGACGTCGCGCATCTTCACGCGTAGCCTACGACACTCTCCGCGGGCCAAGCTTTCTGACAGAAAAGGAGGCAACTGAGCTGCTGGACCCAGGACACCCGGTGCAGGAGTACCGAGCTGCTCTGGAGAGTCACTCATCTACTTTTCCGCGGTTACTTTTATATAGCGTGTCCCGCTCGAGCGAAGCTGAGCAGGAACCCCGTTATAGTGTCTAAAATCTGACGTTTATAAACTATTATAAACTGTAAATAACTGATTATAAAAGTTATTTTATGTTCATATTTCTTCACTGCAATTATATGCATAAATTTATTTCCGACAGGGCAGTACAAACTGGACGTAAAAATAAAATTTTTGCTATTGGAAAAATAAATTCTTGATGTTTCTAAATTCTTGGTATTTAGATTTTACTAAATTACTTCAGGTAAACAAAAATTTTCGATTTACATTACAAAAAATTATCAGAAAAGGTTAAAATGTAACTCCATCGACTCCCTCACGTGAAATTCTATAATTTACATTACTGAGTTTTACACGTACTGAGTCGGTAATAACAACTAAATAATACAAACTATTTGTTTGATCATATAAAAACATATGTTCAAGTATAGGCATTCTAAATCTTAGTATTTAAATATGTTATTAGACAACATTCTCCCACAAGCAAAAATTGCCGACGGAATTTTGTAAATAGGCATTTCTGCATAGTAAAAGATATTTCACCGGTAAAAATAATACTTCTTAGTTAACGAAAATCATTACATTAGATATAATCTATATAAGCATGTTTATAAGACTGTTAGCATAAAACAAATTTTTTAGTTTGATAATATTGCCTATTTTAATTACGCGTAACTCTGATGATATACCGTGTGATGTTCGTATCACTTATGAATAATAATATTTCGAACTCTCGTATCTAGCTAATGAGTAAAAATTTGTTTCCAATAATTTTACTCTACTTGTTAATAAAATAAATAGATAAATCAAATGTATTCTAACAATAATCAATAAATCAAATATATATAAATAAGTATAACGTTTTATGGAAAGTCAGACAATGCCCTAGTTTCTTATGGTGCGAATTGTCCCATAAGCAGAACTAAAGTCTTTCTTGGATAGGATATAATTCGGCTAGTTAATTCAGTTAATTACAATGAGAGAAAGAACTTAGGTATTAGCCAAGTTTATTCAGACTCATGCGCTCACCTTGCAAGGCTAGAAGTGAATGCTAGCCTGTGCAAAGGTGGGCCTATTTATACATAGATTTTCCCGCTTTTTTTTGCAGGAGAGATGTCATTGAACATTCGAGAGACATTCGCGAATTTTCAGTAATGAGTTTTCTTAATTTACAAGTAAATAATCATTAATATTAAGCTTTTAACATATGTAAACTTTACAAAATTTGTTATTTGTTGATTTTATAGAATATACAATTATCACAAATAGTGTCGTCAAAAGTTATTAACTAATAAAGTGAATTAACGTGATATTATAATATTTACAATAGAAAATTAATAAATTTTTATATAACTTTATAGTTGATTCAATTTAGAAGTATTTTCTAAAAATGAATATTTAAATTAGTTAATAACATTTGAATTATAACTCATTTTTCATATATGTAACGGTTTTTCCTAATCTTATAATGCAATTATTAGATTAATTATCTAAGATTCCTAAATTATAAAGCTATTATTGTATCTCAATGAATAGACAAAGAATAATAATCTAATAATAGTTTATTGAATCATGATACAAACGTGATCTCTTTTCAACGGTTAGTGTACGACTAAACTCAAAGCCGCATTCAAGTTATTAAATCAAGAATCGATATTCATTTATTAATAACGCAAGTAACTAAGAAGTAACTAAGAACAATACATTACATTCCTTCACCTTAAGAATAAACAAAAACCAACAACCATAAATCATTATAAATCAAGAATTTTCCTAGCTCTAATAACTCTAGATAAACGTCGTAAAGTTGGAACTTCATCAGCGGTTTTCTGTTCTTGAACATGATTATCTTGAATAACAACATGCGATTTCGGACTACAAGTATTTTGTAAAATTTTTGATTGATCGCTAACACTACTAGCAGCCGTTGCCACATCATTCTCACACACACCCGACATCTCTTTGACATTCGAATTACTCTGATGTACAATAGAAATAGAACTTCCACATTTTTCCGGTGTTCTTGAAGTATGACTATTTCGCATTCACAAATTACAAGCTCGCAATTGATCAACATGACGTTTCCATATACGTTGATCATCTGTCGTGACATTATATGTAACCGGGCCAACTTGCTCACTAACTTCAGCTTTCCGCCAATTATTATTCGCATAATCTCTAGACATAACAACTTCATCAAAAGTTATATCTCTGTTTCCTCTGAAGTGTTTTTTCTGTTCTTGCTGTTTGAGAGTAACGGTATTTCTGATTCTCTCTTTCAATAAATCCCATCGTGTACGAAATTTTCTTCCCAATTGCAATTCAGCTGGACTTACACCTGTTGTATAGTGTGGAGATAATCTATAATGGAACAAATATTTAGCTAAAGCTTCTTTTCTCGATGAAAATTCTTTAATTAGTATTTTAATCTTAGCCTTAAAAGTATTTACAACATTTTCAGCGGCTCCATTACTTGCTGGATGATAAGGTGCAGTCTTTTGATGCAAGACTCCATTAGAAATCATAAAATCTTCAAATAGCTTAGAAGTGAATGTTGGACCATTGTCTGTAACAAGTGTATTTGGTAATCCCCAAGTGGTAAAATAGTCTCTAAAAACATCAATAGTTGTTTCAGAAGTTATATTATTTAATTCCCTTATATCAATCCATTTAGAATGACTATCTAAAATTACAATAAACATTTTTCGAACTTTCCGGCCAACTCCAAACATGTAACGAAGCTTTAGGTGGATTAGCAACACTTTCAAGGCACAACTCACATTGCTTACATTTATTTTCAATCTGTAAATCCATCGTTGTCCACCAGATATACGAGTGAGCCAACATTTTCATGCGCACAACACCCATGTGTGAAATATGAAGTTCTCTTAGCATATCCTCTCTGAGAATTGAAGGTACACAAATACGATAACCCCACATAACACAACCATTTTCCAATGTTAACTCTCATTCTTTTCGTTTGTAAGGTAATAATTTGTCATGAACCTCTTTAGGCCACCCTTGCAATAAATACTTCTTAACTAAACTCAAAACTAGATCTTTGTCTGTTTCATAGCGAATAGTGTCCAACGAAAACGTTCTTATTCCTTCACAAAAATAATTCACATAAGTATACTCGTCATTCTTCGCGTTGGTATTATTTTCAACAGGAAACCTTGATAAAAAGTCGGCACTGCCATTATCAACGCCTTTGATATACTTTATCTCATAATCATACCCTGCTAATATAAGACTCCACCTTTGTACTCTATTCGCTGCCATTGCCGGCAACCCTTTCTTATCTCCAAAAATATAAATAAGTGGCTTGTGATCTGTCTTAAGAATAAAATGTCTACCATATAAATATTGGTGAAAAGTTCTTACGCCAAATACCAAAGCAAGAGCCTCCTTATCTAGCTGCGAATAATTCCGCTCGGCAGATGTGAGAGATCTTGATGCAAAAGCAATCGATCTCGTAATATCATCAGAAAAAATATGCGATAAAACCGCTCCAACTCCCACAGGTGAAGCATCACAAGTAACTTTGACTGGTAACTGAGTATCGTAATGTACCAAAACTTGATGGGAACTTAATCTTGTCTTAGCTTGTTCAAAAGCTTCCTGACACTCATCAGTCCATTTCCATCGAACATCTTGTCGAAGCAATCTATATAACGGGCTAACCACAAATGAATAATTCTGAATGAATTTAGCATGATAATTCATCATTCCTAAAAACACTTGAAGATCTTTAACGTTTGTTGGCGGCTCAATCTTTTTAATCGCTTGAATTTTCTTGTCCGAAACGTGTATACCTTCAGCATCGATTGTATGACCTAAAAATTCAATTTTAGGTTTTGCGAAAATACATTTGTTTTTTCTAACCGTTAATCCTGCACCATTGAATCGCAGTAAAACATCTCTCAATCTAGTATCGTGCTCTTGAACATTTTTTCCCATGATTAAAATATCATCAAAAAATTTTAATACGCCCGGAATACCCTTCAACAATTCTTCAATTTCTCCTTGAAAAATGCCAGGTGCCGTAGCCACGCCAAACACTAATCTCTTAAATCGAAGAAGTTCTTTGTGTATATTAATAGTAGTCAACTTTTGTGATTCTTCGTCCAGAACAAATTGTTGATAAGCATTCATCAAATCAAGTTTTGTAAAAAGTTTGCCGCCCTTGAGCATTGCTAACAAATCTTGTGTTCTCGGAATAGGATGTCTATTTATAATCAAATGTCGATTTACAGTAATTTTATAGTTTCCGCAAATTCTCACTTGACCATTCGATTTCATTATAGGTACTATCGGTGTCGCCCACTCACTCGAATCAATTTGTCTGCAACACCCGACTTAATTAACCTATCTATTTCCATTTCAACTTTTTCTCGTAAGGCATACAGTACCGGTCGCGGTTTACAAAATTTCGGCATTACATTCGGTTTTAATTCTAACTTAAATATTCGCTTATTATACGTTCCTAATTCTTCGCTAAACACATTTCCAAACTCTTTTACAATATCTGCAAATTTACTTTCACGTTCATTGATCATTTTGATTTCATTCATTTTACATTCAAAATTTTTTATAATTCCTAAAATCTCCAACCAATCTCTACCTAAAATTGGCTTACTATTACCAGGCAGTACGTATAACAACAGCTCATAATTTCTCTCCGAAAACAATACTTTCACTTTAACCAACCCAACCCAATTGGAACAATAACATCACCTGAATAACTTTTGAAAATTCTCTTGTTTTCATTCAATTCTAACTCTTTAAACTCATGTCTGCTAAAAAAATAATTACTTGACATTGCCGTAATCGGTGATCCTGTATCAATTTCAAAAATATTTCGAACATTTTCAATCGTTAAATTAATCTCTAATGGTTTCACCTTTGTCTTTTTCAAAATTTCAAAATTTTCAAAATCAACTAAATGATACAGATTGTCAAATTCATGCTCAATACAATCTACCTCATCAATATAATTCTGTTTAGCATTTTCTCTATTAAAATTATTTGTCCTACTTCCACTTCTATTATTGTAACTCTGATAATTAACTCTTTCAGTAACACTCTTCGTTTGACTGTTAGATTGAAAATTATTTGCACCCCTACTATTATAACCTAATTGCGACTTTGCAACTTTACAGACTACAGCTAAATGACCAACTTCTTGACAAATATTACATTGATAATCACGGTACCTACAAGTAGCTTTTCTATGATTAGGTTTACCACAACAATAACATTTTACACCGTTATTACTACTACCCTGTTGGCCATTCACTTTTTCGTTTTGGTTCATATTCTTATTCTTATTATCTACCATATAGTTCACCATTGTTGAATGCACCGCTTCCTTTGATTCACCCATGCCTTCTGCATCGCGTGTTGCCATTTCCGTAGCCTGAGCCAACTGTACTGCTGAATCAAAAGTCAACGCCTTTTCCTTGAGAAGCTGCTTCTTGGTTGATTTGCATGAAACACCGAAAACGAACTGGTCTCGCAAATAAGTCTTCAATTCTGTACCAAAATTAGAATTCATGGATAATTTTTTCAAATTAGCAACAAACGTTTTGATGTCTTCACCCTCTTTTTGGCGACATTTTTTGAATGTATAACGCTCGCTTATTTCACTAGGTTCCGGTTTAAGATGATTTTTTAAAATTTTAGTGAGCGCTGCATAATTTTTGCTCGCAGGCTTATCGGGTGTGCATAATTCTCTTAATAAAGCATAACCTTTATTACCCAAAAATGTGATCAGTAAAGGAACCTTCTTATCGTCATTAACCTCATTAGCCGAAAAAAACTACTGCAATCTCTCTTCCCACAACTCCCAGTCTTCAGCCAAATCGAACTCAGCAATTGAATCAATGTATGTTTTAGTAGCCATCGTATCACAAACTTCTTCTTCGCTCAAAACATCATCAACAAAGATGTTATTATCGTCGTTTTCACCGTCCGAATCAGAATCTTCTACATTTCTCATCAATTCGCCAGTTCATCCTCGTCGCCAATTATTGGATCTCAATGAATAGACAAAGAATAATAATCTAATAATAGTTTATTGAATCATGATACAAACGTGATCTCTTTTCAACGGTTAGTGTACGACTGAACTCAAAGCCGCATTCAAGTTATTAAATCAAGAATCGATATTCATTTATTAATAACGCAAGTAACTAAGAAGTAACTAAGAACAATACATTACAGCTATCATTATCAAGTATAAAATTAATACTTTCGTTCTATATACAGCTTATTGTTTAAATAAATTATTAATTGTTTATTTACTAATAACAGTTATTATTCAGCTGTTATTAATGAAACCAATTCTTACTCATGTTCTATACTTATTCATTTTGCATATTTACATTTTTCTAATAATTCATATTGTTAGCGTAATAAATAAATCAATTTTGCAAATTAAAATTCATTATTGTTTCATAATTAAATGCAATTTGTGTTATTATATTCTGAATCTACGTACTTAAATTTATATAATAAATACTTTGTTATATTAAAATTATCTCTATTTAACGAATTTTTCTTAATAACAAAAATTACTATATCTATATCTATTACTTTGTGACGTCACGCTATTTATTTTGATTTGACTCTTATATGAATACAATCGAGTAAACAGTGAGGTAGCGCCGCTTAATGTATTGATTTGAATGAACAGATAGATGCGTTAGACTGGTTGCAGTGATTCAGTGATGTAATAAACTATTTCATAGATAGGACCGTTACAACCGTTTACTCTAAATAACATGGCTGTGTTGGAAAACAATATTCAACGTTTTTCAGTATATTGAATCCTTAATATGATATCACATTCAGATTAACTACCTGCTTCACTGAATGTTTAAAGTCTGCATGTATTTAAGAAATTCGTAACTCCGTTGACATAAAATAAAATTGAAAAACTTAAAACATAATTTTCTTTATTATTATTTTTAAAAAATTGTGTAAAAATTAAATGTAAATCTAAATAATGTATTTAGTATCTTGTGTTAAGCTGATTTATTTGAATATAATTTACTAAAAACACGATTAAACTTTCGTGTTTTTAGTTCGCATCATAGTAAGTCACTATCCTACTCTTTCTGAAGCTATACGAGGGTGGTCCGATAAGTACTTAGCCTCACCGCCCCATGGTGCCACTCTGGCAAAAGAAATATTCTATCACGTAGTACAACCTTCTCGATGATTACTGTCAAGATTTCAGCCGGATCGGAGTTGTAGTTTATTTTTGAGAGCGTGTGAAAGCAAGTGTGTCCGTTGATGTTTGAAAAATGGAAAAAGAGCAGTATCGGTCGGTGATTCGTTCTTGTTTTTGGAAGGGAAATCGCGCAACGAAATCAAAAAGCGCTTAGATTCTGTGTACGGTGACTCTTCTCCTTCGTTGGCGACCGTCAAAAATTGGTTTAACGAGTTTCAACGTGGTCGCACGTCGATTTTTGAAGAGCCACGTCCAGGTGCTCCGAAAACGGCAACCACGGAGGATAACGTGACAAAAATTCACGATCTCGTATTGGCAGATCGACGATTGAAGGTGCGCGAGATAGCTAAGATCGTAGGCATCTCAAAAGACCGCGTGGGTCATGTCCTGCATGAAATTTTGGGTATGAGAAAGCTGTCCGCGCGATGGGTGCCGCGTTTGCTCACTCCGGACAACAAGCGCAACCGTGAGATAACTTCAGAGCAATGTCTGACGCTGTTTAAGCGCAATCCGAAGGAGTTTCTGCGTCGTTTCGTGATATTCGACGAAATATGGATCCACTGGTATACACCAGAGACCAAGAAATAGTCGAAACAGTGGACTTTACTTGGCGAAAGTGCTCCGAAGAAGGCGGAGACTACCCCATCGGCCGGAAAGG